GTAGGAAGCAATACACAACAATAAAATATTGAAAAACAGGCGACTTTTTCTCAAGACGCGGTATGGAACACGATAGAAACATTCAAATATTCCTTAGAAGAGGATAAAAATTTCGGGGACTTTTTCAGACGTCATGAAGACATCTTCAACATCGATTGTCAAAACTGGACAGAAGCAAAAAAGCTACGACTATTACTCAGAAAATTAGCAACGGGAGAATACACAAAATTTGTGGATTACATTTTGCCAAAGAAGACAAATGATTTAACGTTTGATGAAGCAGTTACATGTCTGACGGGGCTTTTTAGCCCCAAAACGTCACTTTTTCACAAAAAGTGGAAATGTCTTAACCTCGTAAAGGATGAAAATAAGGACTATTCTACGTTCGCCGCAATCGTGAATAAACATTGCGACGATTTCAAGTTGGCAGAATTAACTCCAGACAATTTTAAGTGTCTTATTTTTGTACAAGGGTTAGTCTCAGCAAAAGATAGTGAAATGCGCAAAAGAATGCTTTCAAAACTGCAAAATGATTAACACTACAAAAACTATCGGAAGACTGCCAAAAATGCCTGAGCATAAAGAAAGACTCGAAGGATATTGAGGCGTCAGAAGTATCACATATACGTAAGTTAAACAAAAGTTTACGTTTTTCACCCTCCCCGCAAAAAAACAAAAATTCTATAATAATGGAAAAAGATTTTCACCCTCCCCGGAAAGAAAACGAAAATTCTATTATAATGAAAAAAGTACAACGTACAGGGCAAATAATGACGAAAATCAAAGTAAATATAAGCCCCTACTCACATCTGCATGTTATCGATGTGGAGGACTACATAAGGCTTGTCGTTTTAAATATAAAAACTGTCTTGCGTGTGGAAAAATGGGTCACAAGGCATCCCAATGTAGGAACAGAAAATTTACTAGTAGGATAAGAGCTACTAGAATGCATGGCGAAGACAATACTAACATAAGGAAATATGTGGATCTTCAAATCTTAAATAAAAAGATAAAATTACACCTTGACACAGGTTCAGATCTGACGATAAGTAACCTACAAACACGGAGAAAGCTTAATAGACCAACATTGTTACATACACAGAAAATTGCTAAGTTTGTTACAGGAAAGCGTATAAAATTCGAAGGAGAAGTAATCCTAAATGTAAAATTTCACGGGAAAACAAGAAAACTCAAAATATTCGTAATGAAGGGTACAGAAAATCTGGTGGGCACGGACTTGATGCAGAAGTTCGACGTATGGGATTTACATATCAGTTCTTTTTGTCAAAAGATAAAGTACGAACAATCAGAAGTTATAAAACTAAAGAAGAATTACATAATCAATTTCCAGAGGTAGTTTCGAGCAGGTTGGGACGATGGAACAAGTTTGCAGCCAGAATTGAATTAAAAGAAAACGTCCAACCAGTATTTAAAAAGAAGCGGAACGTGTCGTTTGCTACCATAGAGAAAGTCGACAAAGAAGTAAAGAGAGCTTTAGAAAAAATAATTAACAGACCAGGAAACGTGATATACACAATACAAGGAGAAAAATTTACCCACAGAAGACATATTGACCAAATACAAAAAAGACGGGTTGAAGAGCCAAGCTCGTCACCCGCCGAAAATGATGATTCGATGGAGGCGATCTTTGAAGCGTTTGAGATTCAAAGACCACAAGAAGAGACAGAAATTAGAAGGACTAGCAGGAAAAGAAAAATTACAGAGCCTCTGATTATCGATCATAAAAAGAAAAAGATATTAACTCCCCCCAAAAAGGGATCAAAGGAGGGGGGTGTTGAGGGGTTCTCCCCTTTTTACACAAATGGACTCACCCAGTATATACATATACTACGGCTACGTGAAGACCCGAGGGAGCAAGACCGAAGAGTCGAGTCCAGAGTGACAGAGTAAAAGGTTGTAGGTAACCGGAAGAGTGAGGGTGAGGTAACAGCGTTGTAGGAGTCACAGTGAGCGAGCACGTAGACTCAGTAAGAAGTCATACAGCGATACTTCAATACCAAAGACTGTATATATATTTTGCTACTAACCCATATTCCTGGAACTACTAACCTGCTTTACCAGTTTGTATTATTACGTTAATACTTTATTTTCATATATTCATTCCTGGCGTTTGTTATTTATTGGTACCGGATTTCAACCCGGAATCCACAACAATTTAAAAATACGATATAATTAAATAAGTTATATCTAAAAATAAGTTATATTTAAATAATTTATATTTAAAAATAAGTAAAATAACATTTAAAAATAAATTATATTTAATAAAATAAATAGGTTATATTAAAAAAAATAAAAATACGATGAAAAATTATATATTTAAAAATAAAATATAAATAAATGAAATAAAATAAAAAAATTATATTTAAAAATAAGTTATATAAAAATAAGTTATATTTAAAAATACAAAATTACACTTAGAAATACAAAGTTATACTTAAAAATACAAAGTTATATGAAAAACAACCTTAAAATATATAGATAAAGAGATGTAAGTGATAAAAGGAAAGAGAAAAGAGAAAATTAATAAAGTGTAAAATGGGAATATAGAAATTAGAATTAGTTATACATTCGACATTTGAAGAGTTAGAGTAATTAACTAAATTAATTAAAGTTAGCTAATTAAGTAAAACCTATATTATGGAAATTTGAATTTATTTTTATGCTAACATTTTAATAATTTTTTAAGAGTCACATAAAAATATGATTCTTTAAGTAATATTAATTACAGATGGCAGTCTTCACTCGCATTCTAATCAAAGACGAGCCATAAATGTCCCTTTGCCTTTAAGTGATTATATCATACATAGGTTTTTGCAATCTTCGTTCTGTGTGCGATCTGCTTACATACTCTATGCAAAACAAAACTCCTCTTCATTTATCACAGTAAAAAGTTTAAAACAAAAAACAGATTAATTCTCTGTGTCACATTCACTGAGAAGCAGAATATTTACTAAAACATTCTAGAGAAATAAGACACCACCCACTGTCCTTTGGTGTATGTCGTACTCAGCATTTAATTGAGGCACGTCATTCAGTCGTGTACACGTAAACGCTTTTCGTTTGTCAAACAAATGTCGTAAAACAATTATAGTACTGGTCAGCAGGAAACCGTGGTGTTTCTAGCAATGAAGATAGCGGTAATCACATGCAATAAAGAAAATAACTTTTTAAAGCATACTTGCCACAAATACGCAGAAGAGTCTTTACTGTATTGAAGCAGTACATCCAACTACAAATAAATATTATTAGTTGTGTGCAAAAGTTTCCAGTTCCTTCTTTTTCAAATACTAGAGACTGAATACACAGTTGGAATCGTCATGTTGCTTCTTTTTATGTTGGAGGAAATGCGAAGAAAATGATAAATGAAACCTATGGAGTTGGTTTCTAGATAACAGGAGTCAATGTCCCATCTTGCCGGGTACACTAAATAATGGTAGGGCTATATGGGAAAAGGATAAAACATAGAGGGACTCGTAGTATTCAAATCTAAGATAAGATCAACTCTAAGATGATTAGAAACAAAGCCATCGAAATGGATGAGGTTGTAATAGATATACTTAAACGTTTATCAGGATCGATTACCAAAATAATAAATGAAATACAGTAAATTGACAAAATATCGGAAGAACTCCATCGGACAATCAGTTTAATGAGCCACACAACTAGATTTAGCATTAAGATTCTAATAAATAGAACTCGTAGCAGAATTAGAATAAGAACACAGTGGAGTTTTTTTTTTTTTTCAAGAGGCTGGAAGAAGAAATTCTATCGTTATGAAAATAATGCTATAAGGGCGAATAATACAAATGCAGAGATTGCATCACTTATTTGATAATGTGCTACACAAAATCTCCTTGAGATACTAAAGAACACAGGGAAAGCTATTTGAATAATCCATAACCTCTACTGGGAACAAACAGCCTGCATGTTGATAGAAAACAAGTTCAGCGAAAAAAAAATAAATAAATAAAAAGAGTAAGATAAGGATGCGTTTTCTTAGCGAATTTATTTAAACTATACAAAGAAAGTATCTTGTAAGATAAAGAAGGCTGGGATTTATTATCGACGAATATAATTCTCGGATAGACAGTTGACATTGTTTTGATGAAAGTCTTAGAAAAATAAGGAAAAACTCTTAGACAATGAAAGCAATAAGAAAAGACTAACTATTAACTGTAAGAAGACCTAATGCAGATTATCATCAAAAGAGAGAACCGAAGATGTCAGCTGTGTTTTGGGGACATTAAAGTCAAGCAGGTATGGAAATTAAGCGAAGTATTAAGAGATAGGAAAATGTCATTAGAAACAAAGAATACCGAACTGCTGTCTAAAATTTTGCCTTTATGGTAGCGACTGTTGCTCAATATTCTATATTTCTATCTCTATTTCTCATTGAGTTTTTCATAATTTGCTTGCTTGCATTTCTCTTTAATGTCGTTTTCAGTTTTTTCCTTCTCTCTTTTCCATTGGAGGTACCTCTTCTATTCGTGCTTCCCTTAAGATATTCGACTTTGAGTTATTAAACATTCCTAAGCTTTTATATTTGCCCTTAACTACATCAGCACATATTTGTCCCATTACTGATTGTTAAAATAGAGGAATAGAAAAAAGAGTTATAAAGTATTATGAATCAGAATTTTTTTTATCAAAAATAAAAATTGTCTCTCTATATAAAAGATAACATTGTTAAAAAACAATGTTATAAAAAATGTACAAGGAAAATTCTGGGGGTGGGGAAATATTAGCCAAAATCTTTTGTTAAAAAAATGCGGAACATTATATTTAACAAACCTTTTCAAAATGGTAGCTGCTTTCATAATTTTTAAGTTTGTTTGTTTGTGTATGTGTGTAATTGATGTCAAATACTTAGGGATATTTTTTCGTTTTTCTTTCAGGCTAATTAAGCATTCATTTCTTATCTTCGAAGTGTTTTTTTTTTTTTTACCAGCTGTGACTTGACAATGACGTCAGGAATCAATATGGTGAATCTCACAGAAATGGATGAGAATGGATGGGCCCAGATCCATTACGCTGCGCTTAACGGCTACCTTCTTTCTGTAGAACGATTTATAGAGGAAGACCCCGAGCTGCTTGAGTACGAAACGGGCGACAGTAAGAATTCTACTCCGTTCTTACTGGCCGTAACCGGAGGCAACAAAGAATGTGTAGAATTTTTCATTAAAAAGGGAGCAAAAATCGGTGTTCAGAATCGTTTTAACCAAGGTCCGATCGAGATTTTGTTGTTGAATAAAAATATCGAACTCCTCCAGTTTTTTATCGATGCCAAATACCCTGATCTACCCGTATGGAGGAAGCTTTTTCGATTTCTTTTATCGGACAGCGAAGAAGAAGCAAAGAATGCTGCTGAATGTCTCCAGATGCTGACTGTATATAACAGTGAGACGGGCACAAATCCCAATTGGGAATTGCTTCGAAATGAAGGTGGTGTCGTTGCTCTAGTCAGATTGCTACGCGGGAATATGTCTGATGAAGCCAAAGTTCCTATTATAATGTCTATGTTGAACATGTTAAAATGTGAAAAGATCACCGTTGAAATGGTAGGTAAAGGAGTAATTGGTTCGTTAGTGAAACTTTTGAAATCCGAATGTGTCGACGTACTTACCGCTGCCACGAAATTATTAAACGAACTTGCTAAAACAGCCGAATACGCTGACCAGGAAGTCGATGCTAGCGTACTTCCTATTTTGGTAAAACTAATGAATGAATTAAATGACACAGCTGTTCTTGTTCACATCATTCAGAATTTCGGCAATATTGCTCAAACAGGTTTAAAGAACCAGAATAAAGTAACGACGACCCCGACGTTCATAGAAGGAATGGTTAATTTATTCCAAGCTTTCTATAATAATACTTTAGGATTCGATCTGACTAGTTCGATTGAAAAATTGGTGAACAATAATCATGTAGCACAATGTGCATTTGTTAACGAAGGAATCTGTGCAAGTCTGATCAAGATGTTAACAAAGGTTCACAACCGTGATTTACAGTTAAGCGCAGTCGATGCAGTGTATGCTTTGGCAAAAGACAATCCACAAACCCAAAATGCAATATTAAACGAAAAGTTAGACAAGTACCTCATGCAGCTATTCAACAAGGGTCGATCGGAGAAACTTCAGGAGAAGACAGCTACTTGTCTGTGGGCCATTGCCGGTAAAAACTTAGAAGTACAAAGAGACGTTGCCATGAAAATGGGTGTTCCGCTCTTGATTGGATTTGTGAAGTCTATGACTGAGAATCTTCACTATATTGGTTCGGAGGCTCTTGGTGTTCTTGCTCAGGGTCCCATCAGTCTTCGAGATCAGATTGCTCCGAACGGAACACCTTCTCTTGTACAGTTACTACGCACACCCCGTGAGGATATTGTTCTGAGCGTAACGAAGACATTGAGACATCTTTGCGTTGCGACTGGCTTTGTACCTCATCAAGAAAATCAAAAGGCCATATCCCAGACGCCAGGCATTCATTATTTAATCGCCCTGATGACATATTCGAAAAATCCAATGATTCAAGTTGAATCTGCCTTGACACTTGGATATATATGTTTAGGTAAGTTTGACGCTGATTTTGTTTTTATTCCTTTTTTGCTATCAATATGATTTTTCAAAATTTTGGCTAAGATAATTGCATTTTCCCCATCAGCATCAGTAATCGGAGATTAGTTACAAATAAAATTCAAGATTTGTAATGTTGATTTTTATTCTAGGAATGTAAGCAATCAAGATTCACTTGGGAGAGACTGATGCAACACAGTCTTCCTGATTGGCCATATGCCAAACTAAGCTAAGCAAGTGCAACGAGAGATAAGAATAAAAATAAGTAGAGAGTGCGCGCTCATTATGCAGAAATGCTTTAGAATTTAAGACAAAACAAAAACTTTTCGTAAACAGTTCTTTGAATTATTGTTCAATTTTACATCATAAAGAAGCTTCTTGTGTATATATTCGAGTTGCAGCTTTCTGGAATAATGTTTATTTAAGTAAATCTTTCAAATCTATCTTCTCGCCATATGAATTCTGTTTTGTTTTTCTAATATCAATCACATATACGAAGAGAAAAATAAATGAAATCATTGACAATTTTATTTCTTTGTTAATCGTTGTTGGAGGATTTACAAAGATCTATTTCCAATTTGACTAAGCACGAGGCATAAAAAATGAAATGATAATAAATTCAGTCTAGTTCATATTCATTAAGATTGAGTGAAAAATATTCTACCATTGTTTAGTGGTTCTGAATATTAAACTTGTAATAAAAAAAAAATGAATTCTTGAAATTTATTAAACTTGGTTCCCTTTAACAAAAGTTCAAATAGAATAAGGAAGTGGAACTAAGAAGACTATGTCTTCTATGAAGTTAATCTTTCTAATAGTGAGGGTTTTGTTTGAAAATCACTATTGAATAATTTGATTCCAGATTAATTAAAAAAGACCACTGAAACCAGTGGAAAATATGCTACTATCTCAGCCAACAAACAAGTTCAACCAAGTCTAAAAGTCGTCGTCAGAAATCCTACATCCCCACCCCTGTCACAAGACTTTCCGCTCTGTTGATTGATTTCTCTCTTCTTCTTTTAACACAACGTTAGAACTTTAAATCCAGAGTTCTTTTTATTTTAATTACAGTTAAAATATTATTTAAAAATGTTTGCTGGGAAACATTTTGATAACATAATCTTTTCAGTGTTTGTATAGAATGCGCGACGTCAGGGCTAGATTCAGTTTTGAATTTAGAAGTATCCCTCTCCTATACGGACTATCGGCTACAGCTAGAGAGCCCAGTCTGTCTAGCTACATAAACCATAGCTAGGTGGGGAGAAGAGATGGATTTATAACTTTTTCAAAGGTATTTAAGTAAATGTAACGAACTCAGCCAGAATTCAAATTCTTACCTAATATTTTATCTAAAATTTTGCTTCTGAAATCTTTATTAAATGATGAGTGTTTTTCCATTTCTAAAATTCCATTTCATAATGAAACATTTTTATCTAATTGTGACAGGGAATCTTGAGGTTTTGAAGTGCGTTAAGAAGAACAAAGATTTTAAATATTCGCACATTCTCAGCATGTTCAACAACCAAAACACAAACGTTCAACTTTCTGCAGGTCTCGCCCTGGCAGTGTTTGCTTATAACAATCTTTTACAACAGAAAGAAATGGCCGATTTGGAAGGTGTTAATTTCACCTGGTTCATTCCATTTCTACAATCCAAAGATGAGTATTTTAGATGCTGCAGTGCATTCCAGGTAAATTAATATTCATTATTTCTTGAATGAAGCTATAAAGATGTTAGTTCACTTAAAAATGTTTTTATAGATTCAACATCATTAATTGTTAGAAATTTTCAATGCGATTTTGAAATTCTTTCGGTTGCTGATGACAAAAGAGCTCTTTTTGTATTAAAAATGTGTTTGAAGAATCGAAAAATGTGAGGTTTAATGTCATTTTCATATGAAAAATATTTTTAAAAGAATTTTATAACAGATTATTTCTTGCATGGGAGATTAATCTGGAACAATTCTGAATTACTTCCCTACTGGTTATATCAGATTCAAAATAATATGCGATACCTGAAGGAGCCGAGAAAATTTTATGACATTGGTAGCTGGAAGAAAGCAAAGTGAAGTCAATTAATAAGCCTTAAGTATCATTTTGTCGGGGTTTCCTTAATTGTCCAAATATTTCATTAGGGCGCACTCTCCCCACACTATAAATACTGGGCGATTTCTTTTCTCGTTCTCTTTCTACTTTGCATTTCAGCGGACACATTTAAAAATGTGATCTCTCGCAGAGATCCTCGTTTTCGTCCACTTGTGGGAAAACGCCTTGAAACACACATACACGTACGTACGAACTTTTACCAAAATACAAACTCTTTACGTCCACACACAAACACAAATGTTGATGCCTTTGTAACTTGGAAATTTGTTGTTTAATGCATATATTTGTTGATATATATAATGTAAGTTTTAAAATCAGAATAATTAGAAAGACCTCATGATGTGCAATCAAATATTTGGCATCATACTGACAAGAACATGAACAAAAAATAAAAGCAATGAATTAAACTCAGAAGTATTCTTAAACTAGTTTTTAATAAATGTATTTAAATAACTTGGTAGCATTTAAGGGATAACAGCCTAAATAAATAATTTTTTTACGCAATTCAATTTCGTAAAAATATTACTTAAAATATTTCGGAAAACACATCTGAGCAGAGTTAATTATCTTCCAGTCGTTAACAAGTTCGTAGATCAAACAAGAGAAATTCACTCTCACAACCGCCAATTTTATAAAAAAAATGCCTCAAATTTAATTAAATATAGTGACATCAAACTTCCAAAATACAGAAAATAGTTTCGTTTATATTTAAAAATAATCATTTTTAAATTTCTACAATCAATAAAGGAATATAATTTTTATTTTATAAATAAAATTATTTCTTTATGAATATAGAATATTTTTATATTAATAATAGAAATATGAAATATTTAAAAAAAGATGAAGTAATATTTTTTTATCTATTGAATTTATTCATCCAGATTTTAAAAAAATATTTGGCATTTAATTCTTGACCACAAAGTGTAAAATCTCTTTGATATCATGAAATATTTAACTACACCCAATCAGGTTTTTTCAATAATTTTTCCACGAAATCGCTAAAAAAAGAACATAGTCTGATGAAAAAGACGCCAAACTTAATGAAAACAAAATTTTATCGTCTAAATGCTTATGTTTTTATGAAGAGGAAAGACCAAAGTTTTTTTTAATTAATTTAAAAAATTTTTCCTTCTTTTTAGAACATTCTAAATTTTGATTAAAAAAACCTTGTTTCTCTTTGTACCAACCGAGGCTAGTAAATAACATAGATAATTTTTAGAACGTTTTTTTTTTGTATTAGACACATTAATTTGGAAAATCTTGCAAAAATAAAAATAATTGTCAGATGTTAATGAAACTTTCAGAAACTATTCACAGATGATCGAAATTATTATAAATATGTTTTTTTTTATTAAAGTCAGGGCAGAAATATTTTTTTTATATTTATTAATACCCCCATAATTAATTTTATGAAAAACCCGAGAAATTCGAGCGCATCAACTTTAGTGATTACAATAGTTAAAAGCACAAGGCTTTGAAGAATGCAAATCGTGTTTTTTTTGTTTTTTTAATTGGATCCACGGTACCTGGAAATCAGCTCTGAATTGTAACATACAAAACTCAATAAAACAAATATATTATTTAATTTCAAATGCTTTTATTTGTTTTTAGTTGTTTTTATGAATATGGACAATATTTTCTGAAAGCAAAAAATTTTTTCAATGAAAATTGAATTTTTAATACAATTATTTGTTATTTCTTTAATTATAATACATTTTTACATTAAGTTTTTTAAAAATATTATAACATTAGTTAAAAGCCACGTCAACTTTTCTAAGTGTTCTTATGAGATTGTCATTGTCTAGTGCTTTGAAAATTGTATCATTTGGACCAATCAGAAGATCCGCAGTAATTAAGAAATGTAATTTTGTGTTTATAATCGGGCGGTAATTATAAAATACGGAAGACCAACCAGAATACAATTTAGTTGCATTATTTGAGTTCAGCATTGTTCTCCGCTGTTAAGGCCTTTACTTTTGCGAAACACGTATGGAGAAGTTAATTTGATTTTTCAATTTCAACTGAGAAGGGTACCTATAAGTATCAGTATCATCTTATGAAATTTAACTACTGCTAAACTTTAATTTATATGATCTTATTTTTATATTAATCTCAGTTATGACATTTCTCCATAAATGAAATATCAAAATTAATAATAAAATGAATGGAAATACAAATAACACAGTAAAATGTAATAAATGTACATAAAATTATAGTATTTTATGTACACTTCTGATAAAATTTCATAAGAAAGGTACCTATAAAATAAATTAATTAGATACCTTTCTTATGAAATTTAATCTCACTCTTAACAGTCTTATTTTTTAATTTCTTTATATTTTCCATAAAGCATCGTAAACATAAAGATGAAAGCTAGGTACAAAAAAAAAAAAAAATTAGAGCGCTGAAAGTTTTCCTTAAAAGTAACGAGGTAAATAATTTGTTCACTTAAATCTAAATAATTTCACTTCCTTCCATCCGTAGAAAGAATTATCCTCCCGTAAGTTATCTAAACGTCATGAAAATGTCTTTCGTCACCTGTCAAATGACGCGAAAGGTTATGAGCTGCTTCGTTTTATTTTCAAATTACATTTTTTCGGCGCAGAAGCTAAGTTAAGCTTGGTTCAACATATTTTAAATAAACATTATAATTTCTGATTCTATTAAAATAAGTTTTGAAAAAATGATAATTGATTTTTAAAAGAATATCAAAGTCAGATTTTCATCTTTTTTATAAAATGGAAAATAATGATTGAAAATGATGGATTATCTGTCCTTTTTTTTGACAAAAAAAAAACAAGATTTTTAACGAAAATTTCGGACGTGCTAGGAACGATTAAAAAATGTAAAAAAATACCCCCAAAATACTTTGATCTTTCCTCTTTAATAATATGAACATTAGACAATAAAATTTTGTTTTCGTCAAGTTCGGCGTCTTTTTCATCATGCTATGCTCTTTTTGTTTACATTTCGTAGAGGTACCTATTCTAACGGAAGTGCTAAAAAAGGGGAAAAACTGATAAGACTCAATACTGACTGAGATATTAACTTCCCGAGAGGCGGTGGACGGGGATTCAGAATTTTACTCTATTTGATCTTCCATACAAAAATTAACAGTTGTAAAAATAATAAATCATAAATTCTTTTAATAATATTTCTGGTGCAAAAATGGCATCAAATATTACATTTTTGGATTCTTCAGACACATATTTCTAAAATAAAAAAATAAAGAAAAAATCTATTTTCTCATCAGAAACCTGAATAATTTCCAAGTCGCACTGATGCCCACCAAAAAACATATTTCTGCATAGCTTTCTAATAAAATAACATATCCAATATGCTATTCATTTATTAATGAATAGGTTCTGAAAATTTAATTTCTTGATTTTCAGTATTTTTTTTTTTTTAAACAGTGAGTAGCAATTTCTTGCTGTCATTTCGGAAAAAAACATTTTGGCGGTACCTAGACTAAATAACCCAGTAATTTTCTACAAATACTTAGGTTAGTTGATTTTTCTTATTAACTGATAACCAGTTTGACTGTCAGAAAACAACAGTGACATTTATAAACAGATCGTTTTGGATCTTTTTCGATTAATTTTGTTTTCGGTGCTTGTTAATTGGAATTATTTAACTAAAATATTTTCTTCTTCATAATGTCTCAACATTTGAAAATCGATTAATAACAAAATAGATTTTTTAAATGATTTCAAATTTCTTTTGTCCAAATCAGGTAATCGTTTTAACTCGGATCATTCCTGATGAAGACCAAGCACTGACCTCGGCGACTGGGATCAAAATCTTGATCGATCTGTTGCAGCATTCGAAAGACGATGCGATTTTATCATTGGCTGCTGACTGTGTGGCACGTTTGGCTCACACAAGAGCTGGTGAGGGAAGATTACATAATGACTGGCAGATGTTTGTTCAAATTTCATTTAAAATATAATAACCATACGTGAAGGAACTTTGCTTGTTGGCAAATATTAATGATATTTATCAAGCTCAGCTTAGTCAGCCACAAGGACTTCAGAATAAAGCAGCATTGAACTCCTTTTTATACTAACAATGTTCTACTAGATTAGTTATCTATCTCTTTCTATCAAAACATAATATTTAATAAATTACACTTGATTGGCACAGGGAAACAATAGTGGGATGTAATGACCAATGAAGTGTGTGAACGTGCGTAAAGATTTCAGATAGAGTATATTTGCAAAAGAACCATATGAATAAAGACAAAAGAAAAACCTACCTTTAATCGACGCGTTTCGTCCTTCGAAGGACTTTATCACGTCATATCTGCGAGCGTTCTTTTTTAAATTTTGCAAAATCAATAACATTTTTGCTTTGTATATAAATACTTGTTACAAAAATAAAATCCTTGCATTTGCCTTTGATAATGTCCCTCAGAGGATGGAGCGGGAACAGTATTTTTCATGCTTGAACAAAAGCTTTAGGCCATGTGTCTTGTGTTTTGGCTCAACTATTTATATATATGGGTCAATGGTGTAGCAAGGTCTGTTGTATTATCCTAACGATTATTAGGTAGGGGGTATTGGTTATGTTTTAAATTATTCTAGAAGCTGTTGAGTAAGGATAGTTGTGGAACCAAATGCGCTTATTTGTAGATATTTTATAATGTTGTTTGTTAAGTTTTACTCATTACTGATTACTTAATTATTTGTTATTGCTGATTATTATTATTACAAGTGTTTATGTGTGCATTTGTAGATTGCTAATTTGTTTATTATTTACCTTATTTGTCTATTTATTTAAATTTTTGGTTTATTTTTTTCGGTTGTTAGTTATTTGCATAGTTTAAAGTTTTAGCCTTGTTTAAAATATGTTACATTATTTGGCTTGTATATAGTGCATATATTTCAATTTTTCATGAGGGTATTTTACAAGGTGTTTGTTTTTAGTTTTTGATTTTTAAGTAACGCAGTAAATTTTTTTTAGGTGAGTTCTGATCGTTTATTTAGTGATTTGTGTTTGTCCGGGAAGGGGATTATAGCAATTTTTCTCAAATTACAGTTTTGGGATTTATTGTTGTAGGCTGATAATGTTTGTTAACAAACAACACTATAAAACTACAAATAACTGCATTCAGATCCGCATTTATCTCTAATCAACAGATAACATAACATTTGTAACATAATATAATCTGATATTTTACCCATGAATATAGCATACCTTAAAACTATACATTTATCATTGAGGTGTAATAAAAGTTCGTAGTGTTTTTCAATCTGTATTGTTGAACACATAATTTCGTTTCACACATGAATGAAATTTAGGACACACATTCTGAAAGGTGATATTTCAATGTGTTTTTTCGATACAATTCATGTGTGAACTGTGAACTTTAAATGTTTTTACATATAAAGTGAAGAAAGATGGATTGTCGTCATTTGATGCTGTTTTATTTTTGAAAAAATAAAAAACACTGGACAAACAGCCAAAGAGAATGATTCGTTTATGGAGATGATTTTTGATATATAAAGGTTACTTTTCAAGGCCGCTGAAGTCTATATTAAATGTTGGATTGGAACAAAATCCGTAGCATTTTTCAATAGTTGGCGTTTAAACACGTGATTTCATTTCACACATGACATAAATCTGTGATATACATATATATTCTGAAAGGTGACATTGAAACACGTTATGAATTTTAAATGTTTTCACGTTAAAAGCGAAAATCAAGGCAAATGCGATACATGTTTATTATTTGAAATATCATGAAAGGATATGTGCCGTTTATGGAGATGGTGCCGTAGCTGAGCTTAATGTTCATAAATGATTCGCTAGATTCAAAAGTGTAAGTTTTGATTTGGAAGACTGTGAACGTTCCAGCAATTCGTAATAATCCGTAACGCATAAAACGTGACTTCGCATATATATTTAACATATTTCATGTGAACATTGTAAGGCATTTGAAAATATTTGGATGTTTGGGTTCCTCATGATCTAACGAGATAAAATTTAACGAATCACATTTCCATCAGCAAATCTCTTATCAAATACAACAAAGACGACTCATTTTTAAAATAATGATCACAGCGATGATAAATAGTTTGTTTACAACAATGTGGGGCAAAAAAGGTTCTTAAGAAAATAAAATGAACTATTGTTAACCAAAAAAGTTAATGCTGTGTATCTGGTGGGATTGGATAGTGAAACTGTGATAGCGGAATTGTGTATTACGAACTCCTTTCGAAAAACCAGAATGGACCATTTAAAATGGACCAAAATCAGAATTAACCATTTAGGCCAGTCGGAAGGGTGACGTCTGCTGCCAGGACAACATCAGATTTCGCGCCTTTTTGCTGGCACTACAAAGTGATACTGATTAGCTGGGATGTCCTACTACACCTGCTATAGTCACCTGACATTGTACATTCAGATTACCACTTACACCTATTCGTGGATGAAGGATGTGATCGACCTTGAAGATGCTTCAAAAATGGCGAAAGGCTGTGGAACAAAATGGCACATATAAAGCAGAATAAATCAAAAAACAAATAAATAAGTGCACAGATATCTAGATATTATCTTTGAAATTCACTTAAAAACTATTAATTTTTGTTTCTATCCAATCTAGAGTCGGAGTGCTGAATATAATATCAATCAGCTAAGTCACAAATTTTATATTTGCATTAATCATATATATATATATATATATATATATATATATATATATCTGTGTGTGTGTGTGTGTGTGTGTATTCTAACATATATTCAAACATATATTGTTAAATATAGCAGACAATGAGTAGCTATTATGTATGATCATGAGCCGTTCTAAACTTCGTATAGTGACTTTAATTTCGGTGAAAATAAAGACAAAAATTGTGCTGTTCCTTGATCTAAACTTTCGGCTAATACGAGCTATCTTTGGAGTGGTTATACGGACACTTAAACAAAAATATTCAACATCAAAGATGATATTCTGTTATGTTGACATAGAAGATTACTATGCGACGATAAAGGTCGCGGAATAGCAGATGCAGGTCGTAAATTCATTATGTGATTTTATGACGTCCTACTACGTGAGATACTGAAATATTAAAAACAGAACCATATGTCTAGATACAATGTAATGTGTTGTGACTAGTTTAAAATGTTATTTTGTTGAGTGTGGGTTGATTTGTTTTAATGTAGATGGCCTCCAATATCTGAAGGTTCGTTTTAATGTGTGTATATGTGAGTATTGTTGTATTATCAACTAATATCTGTCTAATATTATGTACATAGCTATGTTTTTCTGATAAATGTTGTTTAATAGAATTGAGATCAGAAAAATGACAGATAAGTCTATGGGAGAGCGAGGTTGCAGTAAAACCCATAGTGGATTTATTAGTAGTATCAGAGATACAATCTCTGAACGGGCATGTAAATTGATACACATTGGTTTTTTGTAGAGGATTTAGTTGTGTGATTGTAGGGTTATTAGAGACTATGAGGTCAATTGTTTTAAATTTTTTATAATATATGATGAGCTTAACTTGTTTATTATTATTAATGGGTTTAACGTTTCTACCTATTATGTTTTTGAGTGTTGTTTCATCATGTAATTATTATGCATTTCGTTACAACAGTATAAGTTAATAATGGTATTATATTTATTTTGACATACACTGTTATTCTTAATATTATCAATTTTGTTAGAAGAATTAAGTTAAGTTTATTGAGATATATTTTAATTTGTTTATCAATGATAGAATTAAGGAACTTTACCTACGAACTTAGTCAAAAAAATAAACTCCCATTCTTAGACGTTATCGTAGAATACAGCAACAACATTTTTACCACCTCATTGCATAAAAAATCCACTAGCAGAAACTGTTACTACCTTAACTTTAAGAGTGAATGCCCACTCAGATACAAAATAGTGGTGATAAAAAATAAATAATAATGATAATGAACACAGTAAAAAAAAACATAAATATTTTCTACGAAAGCCAAATGCGCGTCAACTATAATCTTCACTTAGAAATACAATAAAAAAATACAACACACAAGTTGATCCGAACAAAAATCAAATTAATTATCTCCTAGAAAAATTTAAAACATTTAACTTTATTCTAAAACAATAACAACACACAGGCAAAATCAAAATTACAATGAACGAACATTATTTATGAGTTCAAATGCCCCTTTAAGGAACTGTGTTCCTGATCAAACCGAATTCATAAATAATTACATCGGTCATACTACAGCATGCCTATCCAGATGCCTTACGTTACACCTATCTCACAGCTCCATTAGAATCCATTTCAACACACACAAACTTACCAGACTCCATTCGAAACATACTAGTAGAAAATACAAACATTATAACCTTATCCACATGTAAAAAAAAAAAAGATTAAAAATAATGAAAGCCTTAATAATAAAAAAAGAAAAACTCAACATTCAATAATGTGCAAACTGTGTTCGGAAAATAAAATATCCCTATAACTCTAAAAACATACACACAACCTATAAACCGAGTTAAGAAGTAAAAATAAACTCATCCTTGATAATGACTAAAAGTATATAGCCGAAAGCACTCGGAATTATAAAAGATTTGAGCAGTTTTTATACACTCAGTGTCCAGAAAAGAAAACACTTGTTCGAACACAAGAAAAATTAAATAAAAAACTTAATCGCAGTACCTTGTCTGTCGTCTTTAATGAAACATATTTAAATGAAGGATTGCTGCCTAAATATGCACAATATATATATATATATATATATATATATATATATATATATATATATATATATATATATTGAGAGAGAGAGAGAGAGAGAGAGAGAGATTCGCACTTTGAAAGAGATTTGCTGCCTGGAAAAAATTGATACCATAAATGAATATGTCAATTTCTGACACTGTACAGTGCGATTAATAAATAAATCTATACAATAACAACTATACCCAGTCCAAGGCGATCACTTAGGCACCAGCTATAAACCCAGACAATGGGAGGGCCCCAAAGACACTTGAGCAGGACGATTCAGCGAGAAAAACGCGTTCTGGGAGAAGAGTAAGAACACCAGCAATACTAAGGGACTAGTAAAGAATAAGAAAGTTGAGTGAAGTGGTAGAATAAACCCTGTAAGTGTAAGGTAAGAGAGCGGTCTACCCAGTGAATACCTTGGTCTGCATCTCTTGTTCATTCCCATTTGAAAAGAAAAATATTTTTTCAAAGGGTGAAAGATGTTTCATGGGACTCCGTTTACGTAGGCTAAGCCGGTTACGTGATATAGGGTTGCGGGCAGTTGAAATTAGCACGGACGACTGGGAAGATGAACATGTCAACTCGTGTGGTCGAGTGTCTATGGCTATAGGCGATATTGAGCATGAAACATGCATATTATCTTCTAATTATAGAGTACTTTATTTATTTGCAAACAATTGTAGGCTTATTTTTGTTAGCTCCACAATGTGAAAATGTTTTAACCTTCAGAATAAAACTTCCAGTCCGATTTACAACTTTATAATAATAGTATGGTGTGTGCTATCGCACTCAACCCAAATGTGTTAATTAAATCCTCCATTAAAATTTACAAAAGTTTTTTTACCGCTATAAATATCTAAGATAGGCACCAGTCACATTAGGGAAACGAACTATTTAATAAATGAAAAAGTTGCAAAATTAATCACGAAAAGCATTTAATTACATTAAATTTACAATAAACAAAATTAGTAATGTTCGGGTTTGTTGATCTCTTGTCTTAACAGTTTTTTAAACTAATAAGGTAGAGCAAAACAAGGAGCACCCCCTCTCACCTACGCGCCGATAGAAAAATGACAAATGAAATAAGGGAGGATCTTAGCCAAAATTTTGGAAAGGAATTTTCTTACTTTTTAATTCTACTTCACACTTTTGCCTTGATTATTAATGAGGTTGCGTATATGAAGTCAAAAATTCGATATGTGACAGGAGGATGAAGTTACCAAAACCATTCACCTGATCCTATGTATATACAAATCGACTTGTAACGAGACATCTGAAAGAAACGTGTTCCTCATAAATACAGGGAGAAAACATGAGATGAGGCAGTCTTCTACAAATGTAGAAGAGTGATAGAAAGGCATGGTTGCCTCAGTTTTACAACTGCCTTCCGACCAACCATTCACTCAATCAGACTGTTTTCCTTTGAATATGTAAGAACTAGAATTTTCGGGTGATAAAGAGACACTCTTTAAAAGGCCACGTACTTTTATAGAGGAGAGATAAGCCAAGTTGGAAGGCAGGCCATTAAAACTCTGTTAAGAAAGTCTTTTGTCAGTTGAGATAGTAAAGACAGATATGAGTTTGTGTGTCATGGCTATTCTTCGAGAAGCAAACGTCTCGGCACTCAGAAGGCTTTGAATCGCTTTAGCCAATCTCGGTGAAGACGAGGACAAAATTTTAGGTATTTTAGAAACTTGACGGGCAAGACTGGGAAATGATTTTGTTACAAGTCTTCTGAGATCATTAATTACAACGTGGGTCGAATTCTTCATAATCCAATAAGAACTGACTTGTCTTTGGACATAAATAGCTGCGGTTTGCAGACTTTAAGTAAATAAAAAAAGAATAATTTGTATCACAAGTTGCAATTCTGTTTATTAAATCAGTACAATGAAATGTCTAAAATTACTTTCTTAGAGGTGTGGCATAAGACAGAAACTATTTACTTTCTGATGCAGCCACATCTCTTTCTCTGTCTCTGTGTGTGTGTCTCTCTCTCTCTCTCTCTCTATATATATATATATATATATATATATATATATATATATATATATATATATATGATGTAAGTTTTAACATGCTTGGCTATAACATCAGCTGTTCTTTTGATATGCCATGGCGTATATCTAAGTGAGATACAAGTAAAATATCTTATTTTTACAATAAAAAGATAAAGCAATAGTTACATAATTCATTACATGTGGATCCTTGCGCAACTCTTGTTCAATGAGTTGTTTATGATAAGTACAGTAATCAAAACATAATACAGATTGTGTTTAAGATATTGTTATTGCAGTATCAGAGCCACGTATGGTCTTGAATTCAAAGATGTCCTTCTAGATTTATTACCAACTAGGACTAAAGAACACAGTCTGATCCACTATTTAACCCATGGCTGGGAGAGAAGAGATGGATTCATACATTTCTTAAGGGTATCTGCGCGTAAATGAATGTAATAAACTCGACTGGAATTCGAACTCTGCTCTCTGATTTCTTATACCGAGCCGTTACACCACCGCACATTTATTTTTATTTTTTTTATCCCTAGACAAATTCCATAGTTGCTAAAAAATACTCTTATTGATTGTGACCATTTAGTATTATTATCTATATAGATGGATACGAACAAGTTTTATAAATAAAAATCTTAACTATCGAAAAACAAGAAACAGTGACTGTCAAATTACATAAAATATTAAATCTCAATGAAAACTGAAGTTATCTCGAAATGAGTTCCCAAATAAAATATTCAGATGCCATCAAGCAAAAAACTTTATGGGTGTTTGCTATAGCACAGTAACCAATTTGCTTGTATAGGGAGTTTTGCATTCACACTTTGACCTTCTACAGTAACCTTATGTCAGATAAAAATAAAACAAGCTTAATAAATGGCCTAAACAAGTCAATGCTCATTGTAAAGAGATTGATAGAACACGAAGACCGATGTATGGCACTAACCAGCCATATTTGAAGTGGCCACTTTATTTTTTAGAAAAAAGTTCTACAAGAGAGACAATTCCAAATCATGACGCTTACATCTGCTTGTAAAAATAATTTTACCTGGTGGCTTGAACCCATGACCATTGGCTAAGATAGACTTAGAATTAAAATTGGTAGCAACAGTTTTATGAGATGAACAAGTATAACAAAAAGAAAATTACTCTATCTGAATAAATCTAGACGAGTAACACCCTGGAGTCCTCTTTGGATCTAAAGCAATAAATCTGGAAGCCACATGACCCAATGAAACTTGACTCCTCCGAAATTCTCATACACTTTTCTAGTTCTTGTGGCGAGGTGCTTTTTAATGTTTGCATATCAGGTGATCATAGATAGATCATGCGACTTGATTACGTATTTTTATTCGAGCACGTGTATAACCAATGACCTTCTGAGTTGAAGTCATGCTATTGAATATATTAGAATTTATTCACAAAACCGCATCCATTTGTTTTATGAAGTAGTGAAAATGTAATAATGAGCAAAACTTATTCCAAATAAAAACAAAAAGAACCCATGTATTTTTTTTTTTCTTTTAGCTTTTCTTTTTCGATTACACAGCAGAGTTGATTTGTTATTGGATGTCTTGCAGGTGTTCCCCATGCAATGATCTCAATCGATGCAGTTGAATATCTGTGCGCTCTTCTTCTGTCTCCCCTCGAGAGGGTCAGGGGAAATGCTGCTATTGCTCTCAGCTACCTGGCCATCTACCATACAGCAGAAAGACAACTTTTACATAAGTAATTATTCGGCCTTACGATTTTTTTTTGTTTATTATTTTGGTTATCTATTCTATTATTATCTATCTGATTAAAACGATAGTTTACTCACGATAATTACAATCACAAAATTTATACGAGACACCAGTCTATTTGAACAAATTATTTATTGTGTTCATCTGTTTCGTTATCCTGTATTTCCAGTGTCACGCTTGACATTTTCTGCTAACGCCATTATTCATTCTTTGAGAACGGTTGTTTATATTATAAAATTAGTCGACCCCAAATGTTAGATTTAAAATTACTTGAAAATAAGCTTTAAAAATAATAATAATTTATTTTAAGTCAATAAATTTTGTAATATTTTTATTTAATAATGTCATTTTTATATCAGTCTGTAGACTCGTTTTTTTCCTACCTATTACCCCTAGCAACAGAACAGTCTATATCTTACGCCTACGTACGGAAAACTTCAACCAATAAAAACCGTACTAGGCGAATCAACCAATTTCATTGGTTAATGACACAATAATCTGAAAGTTCACGTGCAAAAACGAAATTGCGCCAAAACTCCGTGAGCCAATTTCGGACTTTCAGGACTTATAAAAGTAAACGCCGACTGCCCCAAGCAGTTAGTAACGAACACCCACAGAGAAATTGCCAACATACTCCACGTCACTCGAAATCACGATTTTACCGCGCAAAGGTACATCAACGCTGACTCACTCACAATTAAAACTCAGCCAACTCTGTGGACATCGATTCTCAAACATTGCTTAAAGGGAATTATATTCACTACCTATTAAGTAACATCAATGTGCGAACGACCTTAAAAACATTACAATCAAAGGTAGATTACTCCTTAAGAACTCCTTCTAAAAAGACACTTAATATTAACAATTTTAATATCAACACAAATCTAAAACGGACTGCAAATGAACGAACGATTACAAAGAGAGACATTCTGAAATCTAAAACATCATACACATTTTGCCAACATAACATATACCAATTATCCTGCTTGTATAATGTTTTGAATTGTATATAAATGTTACATTAGTTTCTAATTGAATATGTCTTGTTCTTAATCGCATTTTAAATTTCGTTTATTTATTTGTTGTGGATGCAGAAAGTCGCGCAACCTACACAAATTCCTTCTGATTCTTTCAAGCATAATTAATAAATTCTGCACATCCCCAACAAGTCAATATTAGAAATTGTTCCGATTGTTATATTCTTTGTTTAATTTATCAGTTATATTGTTATAAAAAAAATACATGTTCCAAGATAATCGCAGTAGGAATTTAGAAGTGATCTATATTCACCTACGAGATTTTTTTCAGTGAAATTACTCAACCCAAATTACATTCTTCAGCCTACAAACAAATTCAAATTGGTCCGAAAGCTGAACTTTTTCTATATTATATTTGATTTAAAAAAAAAACTTTAAAAAAATAACTTTTGCATGTATCGAAAGTTATTTTGGATTTGACAGAATTTGAAAGTTATTTAAGATAAAAATATTTGTATTTCATTTTTTGGTCTGCTTCATCAGACCAAAACCATACCCGTTGATGTTGCTGTTCTTCATTTCTGAGCCACGTCTATATTACACTGCCCTACGGGGCTAAAGTGCATGAACCTCATTACTATTTATTCATAGCTGGCGGTAATAGATTCATACCTTTCATAGATACATTCAATAGAACGAAGTGAACTTAAATTGTTTCAGCTGATGTTTGAACTCGGTTCGTCTATTCCATTCTCCGCATAGTTAACCATTAATCTCAACAAGAATTAATTCCCTTAGATATGCAAAGAGAGTGTATGTGCTCACGCGCTTGTGTGTGAAGAAAAGTGATGTGCAGTTATTGTTATTGATATTGTTTCTTTGTGTAATTTTTGTGCAGGTGTCGAAAAGAACCAATCCTTATGAAAGTGCTGACATATTATTCTCGAGACAGAAAACTTCCAACTGGATTTCAGAACGGTTGGAAACATTATCAGAGAGTTGGGCTTCCTGAAATAGAGTAAGTACCATTCTGTTTAAATGTTTGGTTTATGAAATTAGAAAATGGGCAATCTTCAGACACAAAACAAATCATTGGACTCATCCAAACAGAAACTTTCTGCTTTTCTATAAATATGTCAAGGAAGTGATTAGCTCACCATTTAAATAATTTTAAAATATTTAGGAAAGCTCTAAATTAGCAGGGAAAAAAGTAGCAATATTTTGCATGACAGTAAATGAACATTTATTAATTAATATTGAGTTAGAAAGAAAGAAAAGTTAGGTGATAAGCTTCGTGTTTTATGCATCACCTGATTTGTAAATATGGATGCCATAGCAGTCATATAAATTAAAACAACACACAGTATTTTGAACATTTTCTATATTTTGGAAATAGGGAGTTGTTACAAGAAGATTCTTGTTAGATAAGAAATTTAATAATTGTATGACATTGGTTTGGATTAGATTTATTTTTCAGTTGTGTACCCTCCAATTTTACTCAGGTACATTTTGAATGTTGTAGAATTATGCTCTGGGGAGCATATATATCATCTCTCATACATATCAAGTCCAGTGTTTGTGTCTCTTTGGTCTTTGGATTGTCTCTTCTTGACCTCTACACTAACCTTGTTATTCTCCAGTTGAAACTTGTGCACACTCCTTGAAATTAAAAGGGGAAAAGAAGGTGTGAAGGAGAAAAATAGGAGGTAAGAGAGATAAAGAAAAAAATATACAGATGAGAGGAAAAATACAACTATAACTATTAAATAATTTTTTTAAATTCTGACATTTAGATTTGGGATAAGTGTGTTAGGCTGAGAACCAGCATACCCTTATATAAAGAGGGAGATGGAATGGAGATAAAGAAAGATAAATGTAATGGGTGGGGGACCCATTCATAGATGACAAATAGAGTCCCAATTAAGTTTGATAATGGTTAATGAACATTATTAAAATCTAAGTATTACAGTGCAGAACAAAAGAAAAACACGAGAGAAGTAATTATTGAATTTATTGATTAATATGGAAAAAGAACTAATTAAGAAAATTAATTCATCTCAAGAAATTAGATGGGTTGTTAAAGAATCAAACCTGAATATTAACTCGGAGATAACTTAGTAATTTTGTTTAACTGTGTACAGCTCTTTACATACCTCTGTTATATTTGCCAAGTTGGAAGAAAATGATGAGAAGTAATAATTAATTTAATAAAAAAAAATCTTAGATTACTTGAGATGAAGTAATTATTATAACCAGTTTTTGGAGAACTTTAAATCATATTGATAGTTTCCAAGTCAAGGGAGATAACTAATTACTGTCATGCTCAGCAAGTACATGAAATCTTCAAGAATTGTTGATAGTATTAAAAATGAAAAAGACAAACATTTTTTAGTTAAAATTATGAAGTTTTAAAAACTTCATATTTTTATTTTTGCTTTAAAAAATTCTCTGAAAACTTGAGTTGAATGTGATTCCAAATTTGAGAGAAAAAAATAAGTGGCTAGGGTTAGTAGAGAACTGATAATTTTCCTTTTAATTTCATCAATAAACCTGAATAAAAATTCATAAGAATAGATAGGTTGACCTATCTCCTGGTTCACATACCTTCTTTGTCTATTGAATAGGGGTAGAGGTTTATTCTTCATTTCTTGTTTAGAATTGGGTTTCCGGTTCCTTCTAATGTCTTCTCATTCTCTTCCACTCCCAATAGACCCCCTTGTGTTTTAATGGCATTATCATTTTGCTTATGGTGAAATGGTTTAAAAAAAATTTACCAATTTTGAAAAGGCATCTTGAGTTTTAAATGTCTGGTGCCTGATTTTTAAAAACAATTTTCTAATTACTTCTAAATTTACATTTAATACTCAATAAAATTGCTTATATTGCAATTTTGAATTATTTTTTAAGAATAGACAGTGATGTTAGAGACATAAAAGATTATTTGAAGTTGTTGGATTCTATTCTTACTTTTCAAATAGCTTCAGCTATTTAATCAACTATTCACTGTTTTTTTTTTAAATCACAATCTTCCTGACTGTTTCTTGAAGTTCTGAGATTGAGCAATTTTATTCCATACCATTTGTTAAACCGTCTTCTTCATTTGTGATGAAATATTCAGTCAATAAATTGTTTGGCTTTTGTCAGGTGTACATTGAATCTGATAGTCTACAGAAGATGCTTAGTAATTCTTTATCTTTCTCGTTTTTAATACATCCCAGCTAATCTGTTTTCTGACCTTCCAAAGGTGTATGTTGAATCTAGTGATCTTTAGAATTTTTCTTTTTCTCAGAAAGTCACAAAGATCTAGAATGTGGGTTAAAATCTTGTCAGGGGTCATTTCTTTTTCTGATCCATGCTTTTACTTACTTAATGGTCTTAGAATGTAATAATCACTTGAGTGCTGCAATGAAAAATAAGAAAAGTCTGACAGAAGAACTTAATAAGGAAAATACAAGGTCTGTTCATTAAAGAACCAGTCAGTTAATATTAACAAAAATATAGCCTACTTAGAGTAATTACCTCTTGTTTTCCTTCAGAATCACATATCTGAGTATCCAATTCACTTTTCAAAATACTCTGAAAAATCCTCTTTTGTATTTCCCATAAACAGCCTTGTTGCATTTCCTTAATCTTGGTCAGAAATCTCCCCATTTTCAACATTGTTTTTAATTTTGTGAAAAGACAGAAGTTACAGGATGCCAAATCTGGATTGTAGGGTTTCAATTGACCCAGGAGATATGAGGTTTTATAAAAATACCACATAAAATTGAAATAGTCAAATACTAGAGGTTCAGTGACATTTCATTGTGGATTGAATGGGGCTGTGTCTGTTCATGCATGTTCAGTTAGGTCACTTTTGATTGGTTGCTGAGTTACATCAAAGGTCTTGAAATATTCAAAATGGCTTAATACTTTCCAGGTCTACCTTGTATTAAATTGAATTAAAAAAATTGTGAAATATGAATGAACCAAAAGATATTGTATTTTATAAAATCCCACTATTTTCCAGGCTTAGCCAGCTGAATTTGGTAAACCAGCAACTGAAGACGACGCCTCAAGAAATGCACATAATTGAATTAGAGAGAGATCTGATTCACCATAGCAGTGTAGATGATATTGGCAATATATCAAATAATTGTCTAACCCCAATGAAAGAAGACATCAGCAATGCTTTTAGCAAGAGGAATTCTCTCCAAGTTCCAAGTGAAAATGGCTCATCATTTGGACATTGATCTCAATCTGTTTCTAAACTAAAGATTAAATTATTACACTTTCGGAACCTTTCTTTCATGTTTTTAAATTTTTTCAGATATCAGAATTCAGATATCAAAACTATAAATAGTCACATACTTTTGTTCATTTTAATTGGCAAAAACTGATTTTTTCATTTTGTATATGTTACTCAACAAAATTTATATCTTATATGATGATAGATATTACATGAGATATATTATCATATAATATGCAATAATATGATATGAGGCTTTATTATATGAAGAGATTTACAAAATAATCACTTCCAAATTATATTCTCTTAATCTCCTTTTTTCCTGAAATTAACAATGTTTTTGCAATAAAAACTGATAAATTTATAGGCTTCATAAAAAGACCAAAAGAAGCAACTATCAAGCACAAATTTCACATAAAAATTTGGAGATGAAATTGCTTGATTATTACATATTGTTTTATTAGTTTATTCATATTCATTGTGTTGTTATTTTTATGGCAACAGTTTTAGCTATTCCATCCTATCAGATTGTAGCACTCCTAATAAGGCCTGAACTCATATTATTTTAGGTCTCATTCAAAATTAACTCTTTCTTTAAAATTTCCACAATTTTATGTCAGAAAAACAGATGAGGTAAAAAACAACAATTAAAAAGTATGAAAAGGAGAAAAATAAATGACAGCTAGAATGCCAATATTCCATTAATTTTTGCCATGAAAGAACAATTTTAAAAAAATGGCATTCAACAACCAAACCATTAAAAATGAATTTTCTTCTGATATTTGCATTCCCATTTTATTCTGGAAGAATTTTGTCATGTTGTTATACAACCCATTCTTGAATTGATAAATTACAAGAATTTGTATAAAATTGGATGGAACTTAAAATCTTACCCTACAGCAATGTAGTTTGCCATATTGTGTGTGGCAATGTTTACAACTGAAGACCTTGATATCTTTATTTCAAGTCCCTATACCACTGTCCTTTACTGACTTTATTCCATGCAGCATTGATGACAATAAGGTGTTAGTTGTAATGCTCATAGTTTTTCATTCATTTCATGGCTGAAGTATCAATGAAACCAAACATTGTAATTTAAAAAAAGAATAATCAGCAAATATATTCTGCCATTTTTTGCATTTTGACTGAGAAAATGTTGAGCTTCTGTAAATATTTTGATAAAATGTAATTAGAATTTAAAAATTGTTATTTATTCAAACAATTCAGCAAAGAGTAAGTTGTTAAAAATCATACATCCCAACTATTGAGGAAAAATGGAGTAAAAACAAAATAAATAAATAATGGCATATATGACACAGATGGAGAATTATAAAAAGTTTATTGCAAAAAAAAAAACTGTTACAAGTTATCCTGGGCTGTTGTATTTGGATGAAGAGTAGCTAGATGCATCTGTGAATTTGTTTTTTCTGGAATTACTGGTATTAAAATGAGTTAGAATACAGAATTGTTCATTATTCCTGCAGGGCCAGTAATTTAGTCAAAGAGCAACAATATGTTGCAAAGGCAATAATATTCAATTCTGTTTCATGAGTGTTATCAACTCATTTAATAGGTCTCACAGGGACCTCAAGATAACAACTTTGAAGAATGATTGGTTGGTGGTGATTTCATCCTTAACCTGGGTATTGTATTTCCAGAAAGGCTGGCAGTATTGTGATGCCATTAAACACTCAGGCCACCAGGATGAGTCATTTAGGTATGCCACCAAAAATGTTGAACGGTCACGGTGACTGCTTGTTACTAGGCCATGAAAATCATGATGCCAGTAAAATACTTTCAATAGAAGCTTTGAGACTATTTTTTATATGACATGCAAATTACAAATTGGAGATACCAAAATCAAATAAGTAGAACAATTTAAATATCTGGGAAGTGTTTTAGCAGCAAACAGAAAGCGCAACACTGAAATCTGAAGGCACATTAAAATAGTGAAAGATGTCTTCCAAACCCTAAGCAATGTATTAAGAAACAGAAAAATTTCATTACAAACAAAAAGAAGAGTACTGAACTGTTTCATAATATCAGTCCTCTAAGATGAAAAAGAGACTTGTAGCAGCAGAAATGTGGCTCTACAGGAGGATGATGAAAATATCATGGATTGAACATGTGTGCAAAGACAAAGTTTTAGATAAAATGGAAACAAAAAGGATACTTATATTTAACATCAGAAATAGTTGAAATTTCTAGGACACAATTAGGAAAGAGGACTTTGAAAATATGATACTCACAGGACAGATTGAAGGCAAGAGGGACATGAAAACAATACATAACCTACCTAGCAAAATTGTGCAAATGGCAGAACAGGGTTTTGGAGAGATAACAGAAAGATAAAATTTATTAAGAGCTACAAGGGACAAGAAATTGTGGAAAGCCATGGGAGAAGAGAAAAAAACATTTCATATATATATATATATATGTCAGAAAAATATATAGTTTTACAGTATGCTGTATTTATGGGTTAAAGTTCTCAATATTAGGGATAGAGCATATATAAATATAAACGTGGACATTGCAGTCAACACCCATCTGTTTCATACTTAAGCATCATCTTCAGGTCATTTTGACCTGAAAATTGCATTTAAGCATAAAACAGATTGCCACTGCTGAGTGCTGACCTCAATTTCCACTTATATATATATAAGGTAAAATAACCAACAAACCACCTGCACAAACCAAACCCACATGATTCTGCAGAGAAAAGAATGACTGCCTTAATGACAATTACTTGCAAAATAATATAATATATCATGCCACTCTAAAAGCAGCAGATAACAAATAAAAAATATGCGTAGGAGTAAGTGAAAGACCCTGGAAACAGAGAAACTATACATATCAAAATATCCTTTACAAATAGTAAATATGCAAATAGTAGAATGCTGTCTAAACATATAGGGGAAAATAAAAACAAATTACACTAAAAATATTGAAAATAAGGAAAAACGCATCAGCTTAAAACAATAAATCCCAAAACTGTAAACCGGGGGAGAAAATAGCTATAATTACTTTCTCAGAACAACATAAATTACTAAATAAAAGATCAGTACTTATCTCAAAATGCAAATACAAAAAAATTTTTTACTACATTATTTTAAAATCAAAAACTAAAAATGAATACCTTGTAAAATACACACATTGAAAAATGCAAATATATACACTATACACAATAAAGAAAATACAACATACTTTAGACAAAGCCAATATTTGAAAAAATATTAAAAAAATAATCAACCCCAGAAAAAAACAAATAAAATAAAATAAATAAATAAATAAAATAAAATAGATAAACAAAAAAATGTAAATCAATAGATAAACAAATTAAGTAAAAATACACAAATTAACAAACTACTAATACACACATAGACCCAAGTAAAGGTGATAATAATAATAATCAACAACAAATAATAAAATAATAGTAAATAATGAGTAAAAAGTTAAGAAATAAAACTAAAATAACTACAAATAACTGCATTTGAATCCACATTTCTATTCAATAGCCTCTAGAATAATTTTAAACATATTATTATCACCTTCCCAATAACCATTTAGGATATAATACAATAAATCTTCTATCCACAATGCATTATTGACCAACATATGTAACTAGTCGATCCAAAACACAACAGATATAACCTGAAGATTGTGCTAAAAGCATGAAACATACGGTCACTGCTAGATATTGACCTCCGTAGCCACTTTTATATTTATATATGTATGCTCTATCTCTGAAAATGAGCATTTTTAACCTATAAATATAGCATACCTTAAAACTAATAAAGCAAGGTTCTATTTGACTTTAAAATGCATTCACTCTTTCAGATTTTTCTCGTAATGCATATCTGCTCAGTTTCCTATTTGAAATGTAAACAAAGCAATGTCTAAAAAATTAATGGATCTCATTTTTTAATCTGACCTATTTTGATTACTTCAAACATTATTTGCAGTATTTGTGCAGATTATCAAAAACTTATTGACAATTAATAATACATCAGTGTAAAAAAATTCCAATTATTTTATTTAATGACTAATAAATTGTGGTATGGTCTTGTCAACCTTTGAAGAAAAAAAATGATTATAATTATTCTTTGACCTGATATATGAGCATATCTGATTGACATATCCACATATCCAAAGCAACACTGAGTTCCACAAATTTTCTTCAAATTACAAGTTAAAATCTTTTCTGGCCTAGCAACAAGCTGAGTTGTTACCAAAAAGTAGAAGTAAACTTTATTGTTGAAATTCTGATTAAACTCTGATATAAAATAAATGATTTTTCTTCTTTCAAACACTATTTTTATATATTTGATATTAAATTTGACTATTGATTTTTCGCCAGTCAGATCTCACCTATAAGTAAGATTGGGGAAGCATAATCTACCAACCCCAATGCAATTTGCTATGACACTACAGCAAGTATCTAATGTGCCAATTCCTATAGATATAAGTGAATATATGGTTAATCACATTATGATTTCATAAACCTTGGAAGATGATAATCTTGTTTTCAAGCAGAATCATCCATTTGCTAAATTCAAATAAAACTCTGTAAAATATTTTGATAAAAAAGATCAGAAGTTTGACAATTTTAACTTCACATAAAAATGTGCAATACTATAACAACTAATTTGAATTTTTTCTAAAATATTATTACCATCATATATGCAAAATTATTACCATCATATATATAAAGTTTTACGTAGACAGATTGAATGACAGATTATCTAAACAACATACATGACAAGTTTACAAAATTTCGTAGATTATATGAACACCTATAGATAAACATTATTTGCATACAAGTTGCTGAAATTTCTTGTTTGCTTTGAAGCTGAGTGTTCTATATTGGTCATAAGATGAATATCAGAAAGTAAAACCAGTGTTTATCATAAGGAATTAAGAACATATATTGCATCAAGCAATTTTAAATTGATTTCAACTGAATTTCAAATACCGAATATTTTTTAAATGCTAAAATATGATTAA